CCCCGCCTGGCCCGTCTTAGAGAGAGAGAGACTAGAAAGGGATTGGGGGTGGGGGGTGAGCAAGAGACGGCCGTGAGAAGGCAGGAAGCAGAGGAGGAGGGAGAGAGGGAGAGAGGTCAGAGAGGTGAAGATAGAAAGGGAGGATAAGGAAAGCAAGCAGGATGAGAAGAAAGACACTCAGTACGTTAACATGCACAGCTAAGTCGAGATACAGTTATAGCTGGACTACGCTATTTAATTGGACTACTGTCCCAGTATCCATGTAAGGGAGGCTAATCGATATATTGACCTAAGTATGTCCGACTCCGCTACAATAGGTGGCAATACGGCTCCTTTCAGCTTGTTAGTATTGGGCGAGTATACCTGTTGTGCCCCACCCCCACATTTCAGTGAAATGGCCTTCACAAGCAGGGAACATTAATCCGTTTATTACCCACAATCCCCTGCTAACCACACGGGTGACATTAAGGTCAGCATTGGGGGAAACACCAAATTTCAGCCAAGCTATTAGCGTCGCCCTACAGACAAACATAACGGCTAATTGGACAACTTATCAATTCTTATTTTTCCAGACTTGTTTACATGTGCTCGGAGGTCTTGCGCATGCTATAATTGTCCCTCTGGCACAAACAGGATATTGGGAAAGGTTTTGCCTGACACAGAGGCCTGATTTTGGGCCCCGTATCCTTCTTGCTGTTAACAGAAGTCTGACTCAGCATCTTGGCTCAGCGAACCTGGCTGCCAAAGCCTCTCTGTGGTGTCACATTTCTGAGCTCAGTAATGAGCGTAGGTTCACAGCCAGCATTGGAAAAGGCTACAGGAGACCCCCCTCTTCCAGATATAAGACAAAAAGACAGAGAGATGGAGACAGGGTCTAATGGGAGGGGTCACCACTTGGTTGGAGGAGGAGCTTAGCCTGTACCCACAGGCTACCGTGTCTCCAGACCCAACATCTAAATCGTTATCAGGAAGGACAGCTGTGAATGGGGTGATGTGTGCCTGTGATTGGAAGGTCACTGGTTTGCTGGCAGACTAATAACACCACTGGGCCCCTGAGTGAGGCCCTTATCTCCCAAATGGATGTGGGCTGACTCTACACTGTGACCAAGGACATATACTGTATAAGACAGGCCATTGATACCCTGTCAGATTCAAGGGCCCAGCACTTTACAGGGGCCACAGTAGGGGCATGGATACCCTGTCAGATTCAGGGCCCCCAGCACTTTACAGGGGCCACAGTAGGGGCATGGATACCCTGTCAGATTCAGGGCCCCCAGCACTTTACAGGGGCCACAGTAGGGGCATGGATACCCTGTCAGATTCAGGGCCCCCAGCACTTTACAGGGGC